GCAGGAAAATATTCCTGTCACAGAGGTCCCAAACCCTTCCCAAAAGGAAAGCTCTGCAGCTGCCTCTGTGCAGCACAGTATTACTGTAGGAAAGTGATTCCTCCTTGACCCTGAGCAGCTGCCAGAGAATAAGGTTTGACTCACACACACTTAATGTGCAGGACCAAAAGGTCAGAGAATTATCCAGCTCCATGCAATGCCTTTCCTGTAATCCCCCTGTGGCACCGAATCTCCTCAGAGCAACTTGAGGCTGGATGGGCAAAGTGTTTCATTTTATTGCTTCTAAATTAACCAGCTATTGATTTATCCTTAAGCGCTGAAAATTCCATTACAGCTAATTGTGCCCCATGATATGATTGAGCAGGAGGCTGCAGAAACATAAATTTCTTGTTGACCCAAATTCACCAGTACATACCTTATCGACTTGTTGAGTGAGCTAATGAAGAGGTAAGGAAGAGAGGGATCAGGATGGCTTGGGAAGGGCTGCAGACTCCTGTGGTCTAGGTCAGCAGGTTGAGTTGTCAGATCAAGAATCCTGTGCAGTTTGTAATCAGCTGGTGGAGGTTTGGCTTGGGAGAAACCACTTAGAAGGATTCATAGAATCAGAGAATCACAGACTGGTTTGGGTTGGGAAGGATATTAAAGCTCTTGTTCTAATTCTTCTAACACCTTCCACTAGCTCAGGTTGCTCCAAACCCCATCCAACCTGGCCTGGAACACTCCCAGGGATGGAGCAGCCACAGCTTCTCTGGGCAACCTGTGCCAGTGTCTCAGCACCTCACAGGGAAGAATTTCTTCCCATCATCTAATCTAAACCTCTCTGTCAGTCTGAACCCACTCTCCCCTTGCCCTCTCACTACAGAGTCCCTTTAGCCCATGGTGCAGTGAAAGATGTCCCAAACTCAGCAAACACCAAGCTAATTTGTCCCTCTGTGCATGCAGGACAGGGAGATTGACCACCCTGCTCCTTCCTGGAGCCAGCAGGGCACTAAAGCTCCTGTTAGCCTTGCTGGCTCTGGCCCAGACTGCAGCCTCCAGCAGTTGGGCTGACACTGCACACGTGTGCTATCCATAACAAACAAACGAGAGGGAACAGCAAATCTTCCCATCTTCTATTTTTTGGCATCAGAGCCTTAGGGGACAATAGGGCTGGAAGAATTACATCTTGCTCCTTCTCACTGCAGTGCAGTCTCTGGCTCAGAGTCCCTGATGGTTGTCTGTCCCTTCCTCTCTCTCTCTCTCCCCAGCACATCCTTGAGCTGAAATGAGTTTGCTGGCATGATACAAGCCAAGAAATGTATTTTCACAGCAAGGTGACAGCCTCCTCCTTGTTCCACCATGCCTGCATTTGCTGTCCTGTTAGTGCAGTGCCATGGTGGCTGTGCTCAGTGCCTGTACATCAGCTCCCAGCAAGCCCTGGGTGCTCAGCTCCCTTCCTCCTCCCCAAGGAGACAGGATTGTGCCTGTCTGAGGGGATCCAGTGGGATCCAGAGGAGCTCTGGAGAACATCAGGTCCAACCTCTGCACAGAGCAGGGGTCAGGTCCAGCCAGGAGCTCAGACTGCATCCCCACGGGTTTCCAGTGGGATCCAGAGGAGCTCTGGAGAACATCAGGTCCAACCTCTGCACAGAGCAGGGTCAGGTCCAGCCTGATCCAGCAAACTCTGGATGAGTTTCTAGTGGGGCAACATCTAGAGCAGCAGTGCTGGGACTGCAGTGGAGTTAATACCTGGCAGCCAGGTGGGTCCTGAACGTTGATTCCAGCCTTCTAGAAGGCTCTTTGAGCACAAGGGCAGTGTAAGAATTAGCTTTCCCTGGCCTGGATCACACTGAGGAGCTCTGTGGGCAGCACTGCTGAGACTCACTCTGGTGTGAGAATCATGCATCACCTGGGGGATGGAGCTTCCAAGGTGCTGTTCAAGCCAGGGACTGCTGCTCCTGGGTGAAATCCCAGCCTTATGCTCCCAGACCTTTACTCCTGGCTTGCTTTTCATGTGTTTGACATAGAGACAGCCTCAAACCTTACACCACTTAGACATCCTCACTGATGTCATCCACAGCGTGACAGGAGGCTGTGAGTTGCTGTGGGGCTGAGCAGGACTGTTGTCCCAGCTGCATCCCATGCTGTGGGAGGCTCTGGAGGGATGCTCTCCTCCCTGGCTCTGGGCTGATGAGTCCCATTCATCCCCATTAGCTGAGCCCTGTCAGTGCCCACAGTGAGGAGGTGGATGCCTCCCCTGGACTGGCAGTCCCTGCAATTTGCTTCTTAAGAAGGTTTAATTGTTGTTCCTCGGGGGCTCAGCTCAGCCCCTGTGTTTAACATCCCTTCCTGTGGCAGCCAGAGCCTGTGTGCTCCTGCAGGCAGTGCCCAGGGCAGTGCCAGGGGTGGTGGTGGTGGTGGCAGCTCAGGTTTTATCTCACACACCAGCCCACCTGGGCTTCCTCTCGCCTGGTGAGAGTTTGGCCTGGTTTAAGTAGTGTTTTGTTAGAAGAAGTGGCTGTCTCTCCTCCCAAAATGCTCTGGGTCTGTTTCTAAGCCTGTTTCATGCTGGCATTTATAGCTACAACTGTGCTGGAAGGATGAAAACCAAGCACTTACCCCTTCTCCCCCCCTCCCTTTGCCTCCTGTTCTCTGTCTCATAGAATCATAGAATTTTTAGGGGGTGGATGGAGCTTAGAGATCATTTAGTCCCAACCCCTGCTAGACCAGGTTGCTCAACACCTTCCCAAACCCATCCCATTGCCCCTTGTCCTGTCCCTGCAGCTCCTAGCAAAGAAGAGCCCAGGCAAGGGCAGAGTGCAGAAGCACAAGGCAAAATCCATTTCTCCCCCAGTGCATCATTTAGCCCCTAAAATCCCAACTCCTACCTGTGCTCAGGTGGGGAGGCTGTCGAGTGCTCAGGTTTGCAGAGCTCCTCTGTAGCTACACTGAAGTCAGGGAATCACAATGTCCTGTCCCTGCAGCTCCTAGCAAAGAAGAGCCCAGGCAAGGGCAGAGTGCAGAAGCACAAGGCAAAATCCATTTCTCCCCCAGTGCATCATTTAGCCCCTAAAATCCCAACTCCTACCTGTGCTCAGGTGGGGAGGCTGTCGAGTGCTCAGGTTTGCAGAGCTCCTCTGTAGCTACACTGAAGTCAGGGAATCACAAGAAGTTTTGTGAACATCAGGAAGCAAAGTTGAAAGCATGAAATGAATGATATCCAGGCAGAGAATTCTTTGCATGCCATTCCCAGATCAAAGTTTCTTGCTGTCAGATATCAGCTCTTAGCTTGCATGACTTTGAGCCTGCAGAGAGAGAGTGAGTCTGTGACAGCTAAAGCCACGAGGAGCTGTGTCTCTGCTGCAGAAAGTTCTGGCACAGGAGAAGGAAGATGTACCTGGGCACAGGTTAGAGCATTCTGTGAGCTGCTGTACCTCTGATGTAGAAAAAAAAAAAAAGGCCAAAAAGTTGAGCAGGCAGGGAATGAGCAGAAAAAAAAATCAACTGTAATGGAATGACAGGACTCTCTGGAGATGAGAGAAGGGAGCTGGGCACAAAGTCTGTGTGCCCAGGGAAGGCAGCTCTGCTGTGCTTTGTTTCTGCTCTGCAGGCAAAGGGAGGGGGATGGATTTGCATTATATTTTGCGTAGGGAAGAGCAGATTTCAAGATGTTGCTGCCTACATCAAGATGTTCAGCAAACAATCAAGATGTTGCTTCTCCTCAGGGCACAGTGGTCATGGCCCTGCATTATATTTTGCGTAGGGAAGAGCAGATTTCAAGATGTTGCTGCCTACATCAAGATGTTCAGCAAACAATCAAGATGTTGCTTCTCCCCAGGGCACAGTGGTCATGGCCCCAGGGAGTGTTTGGACAATGTTCTCAGGCTCGTGGTGGATTGCTGGGATGTCCTGTGCAGGGTCTGGATTTGGACTTGGATTATCCCTGTGGGTCCCTTCCAGCTCAGGATATTCAGTGATTCTGCAAGGTCTGGATGGACATTGAAGGAGAGGAAGTTTAGGTTAGACATTAGGAAGTTTTCCCTGTGAGGGAGGTGAGACACTGGCACAGGTTGCCCAGGGAGGCTGTGGCTGCCCCAGCCCTGGCAATGTTCATTCCAGGTTGGATGAGCCTTGAGCAACCTGCTCTGGTGGGAGGTGTCCCTGCCCAGGGCAGGGGGATGGGGCTGGATCATCTCTAAGCTCCATTCCAGCTCCTAAAATTCTCTGATTCTATGAAATAATGATAGCTGGGGGAATAATCAGAAGGTACAAAGCTCCCTGATAGCATCTGTGTGTCCCACCCTGAGAAGGTAAGGACAGGTGGGTGATGCTGACAGACGTAGGGACTGTGTTGCTCCTTTCATCAGCACCTTTGTATTGGTCTCTGGCTGGGAATGTCCTTAGAGCTTGGGCATGAAATGCCTTTGACATGGCATATTTACAGTCTGACTTTGCTGGTAGAATCGTATTCAGTCTGGAGAAGGGGAGAAGAAATCCATTGTCAGAATAAGCTGTATCTTCACTGGGGGCTTAGCTGGGAGAGCTTTCCCCAGGACAATAGTACCTGCAAACCCTTTTAAGTAGAGACAAGAGAGGTTTAGGAGGCTTTAGGCTTTCCTCTTAGATAAAATTTTTCACTTGCCATGTTCCACAGATGAACTGATCCCATTTGAGTAAGCTGCTGGTGTTTACACAGGGCTCAACTGCTCACACACCACGTTATGATTACTGGTGTCTTTTTTAAAAAAAAAGCTTGTGGGTAAATGTCTGCCCAGGCAGAAATTCTCCTTAGCTCATAATTCATTCCAGCCTGAATCTCTGAGGGATCTGTAGCAGAAACACTTGCAGAGACCTGGCACTGAGCATGGCCAATAAAGCAGTTCTGTATGAGCTGTGAAGTGTCACCTTCTCTGTGACCCTCTTACTGGGCATGTGGATCACCTTGCCTTTCTTTTCCATGTCCTTCATCCTTCTGGCTCCAGCACTGCTGTTCTTCCCTCTTGCAACTCCAGCCATTCCCTGGACCATCATCAGGCCTGATGGTGCCTTGGCTTCTGCACAGACCTTGTCAAATTTAGGGACAACAAGTGCAAATAGCTTTTTTGTCCCCCTCCTTCCCCTTCTCCACATGCATAATCATCCTCCTGCAAAGCAGGCAAACAAATGGATAAGGGAATGGAGGAGGTTTCATTTTTACAGAAAGCAATTATAGACATTAAAAGAGCGAAAGCAATAAAAATAATATTTAAAATTCAAATCCCTTATCTCTATTACAAGGGTATTAACAGGGGAAGGAATTATTTGTGGGTTTTTTTTTTCTCTCTTCCTAATCTCATTTGCTTTGCAAGTCAATCTGGGAACTTTTATGCATGTGTCCTCTCAGGGGGGTTTTTTGGGGGGGAGACTGACCCTGACGTCTGGGGGTTGGCAGGTTTGGAATTCTGGGGTTGGCAGGTTTGGAATTCTGTGTTTGGCAGGTTTTTTGGAATTCTGGGGTTGGCAGGTTTGTAAACTTCAGGACACAGGGGATGGGGATAGTGATGCTGCTTTGCCACCTACCTATGGTACTTGCAAGTAGCACTGTAGGGACAACTGTGCTCAACAGGGGCTTGGGAAGGGGGAGGTTGTTCTTCTGTAGATGAATTCATTATTTATTGTTCTTATGGCTCCTGTTTTGGCAGGTTTTAAAGCAGTAGGTGAATAGAAATGGCAGTGAAAGGCTGTGAGCAGTCAGGGGAAGGGGCTGATGTTCTGGGTGGTTAGCACAGCTCCTGGCAGTGTCCCTATGTGCTGCTCTCTGGGAGTATAGAGAGAAACACATGGAAGGGGAAAATGTGGAGAATGATTAAACTTTGGGAAAGGTTTGAGAATGGCATATGTGAAACCCACCTTGATTAAACTTTGGGAAAGGTTTGAGAAGGGTATATGTGAAACCCACCCAGGGAGAGATGTGGGAGCATAGTCTGAGCTGATGGACATTACCAGCAAAACTCCTGCAGCTTCCACTACACCTGGATTTTTTTTACCCTGCAGGAAATCCACCCTGTCTCAGAAGAGAACATAGCCCCAGGTATGGCTCAGCTGCTTTCCCAGGTGCTGACCTGCTCTGCTGTCCTCTCTCCCCAGAAAGCTGACTTGGCTGTGGCAGGGCTGACGATCACGGCGGAGCGGGAGAAGGTGATTGATTTCTCTAAGCCCTTCATGACGTTGGGAATTAGCATTCTCTACCGAGTTCATATGGTAAGAGCCTTATTTTACAACCATTTATGGCCCTCCTTTATTTGCATGCAAACGTGCCTGGTTAGAGAAGAAAAATGAATGACTCATAAAAATATTTGGGTTTCTTATTTAATCTCAAATGTGCTCGACCTTTATTTCCTCCTTTTCTCTGCTTTCCTGCTGTGTGGCAGCTTGGTGGGTTGGATTCCTGTTCAACCCCCCAGCCCTGCTGGCTCCTTTTCCCCATCCTCTCTGGGCATACAGTGCTCCCTGGCATGGTGGGGACGATGGGCAGAGAGTCCTGCCAGGTTGGTGGTCCCAGGGCAAGTGTGGGTAGATGTTGGCTTGTGTTCTTCAGGCACAGCAAAGGCCACAGGATGGTTCTAGTGTGGCTTTGAGCCCACTGGGTGAGGTGTGCCAAGGGCAGGCTAGGCTGGGAAGGTGCAGCAGACCAACAGTGTCTCCACAGCTGCAGAAACCTGGTTTGGAGTCACCATCTGGTTGGGTTTGGTGGGGAGACTGCCTGGAAGGCTGAGCTAGGAGAGCTGTGTGTGCACCTCATCAGTCTCAGGGTGATGTTCCTGATGTCAGCTCTGCTCCCAGCCTCTCTGCTGTGCAGCATTGCTGCCTTCTCTCAGCTGAGAATCAAATCCACTGTGGGCAATTAGCTCTTTGTGTGGGCTTTGTTTCTCCTCTCTCAGCCCTTCTCGTTTGCCTCCTCTCAGTTCTTCACCCTCAATATCAGCAGACCCTGCAGCCCTAGGAGAATTCCTTACTCTTAGGGTATTCCCTGCCTTGTGTGGGTGCTCTCAGCCCCTGCTCTGGAGGAGTGAGCAGGGACACATGATGTGAGTCAGAACCCCAGACTGGTTTGGGTTGGAGCCTTTATAGTCAGTAGAATCACAGAATGGTTTGGGTTGGAGGAGACCTTAAAGATCATCTCATTCCAACCCCTGCTCAAGTTGGAAGGGACTTTATAGCTCATCCAGTTCCACCCTCTGCCATGGGGCAGGGACACCTTCCACTAGCTCAGGTTGCTCCAAATCCAACCTGGCCTGGAACATTTCCAGGGATGGGGTCCAATTTTCTTGTGTAACCATGCCAGTTGTTAACATCTCGCTCAGGTTGTCACTGTGCTGCAGTTTGATGTTTAGCAGCTCCAGCAGCAGCAGTAACATCGTTATCCACTGCCACCCACAAAGCAGGTCAGGCATTACATTCAGCAACACACAGACCTTGTGGCTCAGAGCAAAACAGCTGGGAATATGCCCAGGGGAATTGTGTGTGCAAGTATGTACATGGCATTGCATTGTAGCTTTGCTTAGCCAACACTTGTTGTCTTAAATCCTCATAGATTCTCTTGCATTTCCATCCTCTGTGTTCCAGGCTCAGGAGAGGACAAATTTCCCCCAGTTACTCCCATATGGAAGCCCCAAATTCCCTGTGTCAGGGAAGTTCAGGCAGCCAGGCCCTTTGCAGCAGGATGTCACATTATCCCCAATCTGCATTTTGGATATGTGCTCTGCACAGTGTCAAGTGTGATGGGAGTGACAGTGTCTTGGTTTCTGTCAGCTCAACAATAGCAGCCAAGAGGATAAAACCACTCAAGCTGCCTGTCCCAGCCCCCTCTCCATCCGGGAGGCTGTTCAGGATGCAGCGTTGGGGATGAAGAGAAACACATTCACTGTGTGCTGAGTGGCTCCTGCCAAGAGCAAACAAGTAATTAAAATCTAGTTAAAATTCTGTTTCCTCTGGTACATGCAGAATTTAGGATCAATGGCTTAACTGATCAGATAAAAAAAAAAGAAAAAAGGGCTGACTCTCCAAGCAAATGGAAATCAAATGTCACTGTCCCTTCCCTACTACAGTCAGGTTTTCACAGCATCAGCTACCCCATGGATCCAGGAGGTGTTTCTGCCAGTGTCTCTTGGCTGGGGTTGTTATTGAGTTTGGGAATTGAGTAATATGATATATTAGGAAGAAATTCTTCCCTGTGAGGGTGCTGAGGCCCAGAGGAACTGCGGCTGCTCCATCCCTGGGAGTGTTCCAGGCCAGGTTGGATGGGGCTTGGAGCAGCCTGGGCTGGTGGAAGTTGTCCCTGCCCAGGGCAGAGGGTGGAACAAGATGAGTTTTAAGATCCTTCCAACCCAAACCATTGCATTATTCTATCTTCAGCAAATCCCTTAAGGAGGATTCATTCCCTAAAGGCATTCCTTCCTCCAGAGGGAACGCAGGAATATTGGTGCAGGAGGATCTGCTCTATACATGCAAGGCATTTGCTGCTGCCTCAGGGAGCTCTAGAGAAGTGTCTGACACATCTATTTAGAGTGGAAGTTCTTCAGGGCAAGGAGCAGCTGCTGCTCATGCTGGTCCCAGAGTTAAGCAAAGCTCCAGCCTATCCTTCAGGCACTTCCCAAACTGAACAGGAGTCATAATTACAGATTTCAGAAGTGTTTGGCAAATATTTCCTGCTGTTGGTCAGCATTTGGTTTTTAGCTGCTTGGTGAAGGAGCCAGTTAGGATTTGAGTGGAGGAGCTGTTCAGTGACCCAGTTAGGCTTGTGAAGGAGACACAGAGCATCTCCCAGGTCAGGTCCCCCTAGAATGAGCCTGTCTTTGCTGCCTCAAGGCCTTGAGGAGTGATGGCAGGAGCAGCCAGGGCTCATGCTCTCCCCAGCAGCAAGGAGCTCTCCCCATCAGATGCTCAGAGCTTTCCCTTCCCTCTCCAGCACTTGGCACCTCTTCATCCAGACCTCTCCTGCTTAGCTTGAGGAGAGTGTCTGAGAGCTGCGTGGCAATTAACTTATCAAACTGGTAAATATTTGCTCAACAAGAGAGTTAATTGCTCTGGTTTCCCTTTAAGGCTGTGCTTTGCAGAGCAGCCCCACAGCCCCATCTGCTTCCATCCCTTCCCTTCCCCTCCCCACCCCAAAAGCCACCTCTGCAGTGTCAAAAACTGCAGCTGACGTATGTTAATCACAGCAGAGATGAGATGTAGCCTAATAAATAACCACAAATGAGCCTGTCTCTTGCTGAGGAGTTGTCTCCACGCCCTGGTCTCCTCCCAATGTGCTGGCATTTTCTTTCCATTTCCATGGAACTCCAGTGGCAAGTGATTTCTCACCCCTTTCTCCTCCCCACGCCTCCAACCCAAGCACCACAGTGCCTGTGCCTCTTATCACACATAACCAAGTATGGCAGCTGTAAATGGGGCTGTCATTTTTCTCAATTTCACTGGTTGTGATCTAATCAAGGATGGATTTCTGACAAGGGCACTCTAATAGGCTTTCTGACTTGCAGGCTGTTAAGGGGGGAAAAAAAAAAAGGCTTGGGTTTGTTTTATTAGGTTCTTCATCCTGACCAGCTAGTGGGACGTGGGGATGGCAGGAGAGAGATGACAAGCACTGAGCAGTCACTGTGCTGGGCAGAAGCCTGAAATCAGGTGCAATTTCTGCACCTCAGAGGGATAAGTCAGGGGTTTTTTGTAGCATACACAAGCTTTGCTCACGTATCTGCCTCCATGGGCAAGGGACTAGACATGCTGCTGGCTCATCAGCCCTGCTGTGCACCCCCTCAGGATGAGCAGAAGTAGGTTTGGTGAGCACACTGAGTTCAGGCCAAGGCTCAAAGTGTTGCTATGTGGTTGCTGCAGAAGGCATGAAATGGGAAGGATGGAATGAATAGCTCCTTCATTCTGGCAGGAGGAGGCTTGACAGCTGAGGCAGAGGAGCTGAGAGGAGCTGAGCACCCTTCCTGACCACCCCTGCTGCTCTGCCAGCGAGCATCCTGCTCCACTGGAGCAGGGGTGGGAGTGACTGGTTGTGGTCCACATTGGCATGTTGGTTTTGGACCATCTGGTGACCCCAAATTAGTCTCAGGATTCACAGCAGGCTGTGTTTGGCTTTTGCTTGCTGACTTCAAAGAAAGGACCTTGGAGAAGGAAGGAATCCTGATCTGCATCTGGATCAGGTGTGGTCATCCTAGAGCATACACATTCTGGTTTGGTGAGACCAATGTGCTGCAGTTAAACCTTTCTGCCTTTCCAGGCTGAGTGCATACACATTCTGGTTTGGTGAGACCAGTGTGCTGCAGTTAAACCTTTCTTGCTTTCCTTCTGACTTCCAGAGGGAGATCTCATCTGCTTTTTTTAGGGATAATGTCAGTGAGAAATGACATGGACAGGGCTGACTGTTCCTGTCTGAGCACTGGGATCCCTTCACCCTCTGTGTGTGCAAGGCAGGCTGAAAACAAATCCAGGAATCCATAGAGATCCACTCCTCCTTCCCTTCCCATATGTCCTTGTCCATGCTCTTAGGTCACCAGTATCTTCCCAGAAAACTGCTTCTCACTGACTGTAACTGAAGAACTTCCAAGAACAACTGAGAAGGGTAAATGAATCTCTCGTGCTTCCATCTGAGGAGGCCTTCATCAATTATTGGACATTTTGAACATATCTATTCCAGGAAAAAATTGCTCTTCCAATTAGCAAAGCTGTATTGGGACAGCTAAAAATATCTGACAGACTCCAGATATTGTCATTCCCATCTTCAAAACAGACAGATAAGAGAGTTTGTGCCCTCCGTGGGAACAGAATATCTTTATTCTTATCCACAACTGTGAATGGAAAGAATATGGAGCAGCAGCCTGAAAATGACTGTAGCTGAAAAGAACCAGAACTACTACTACTGTAGAGTCACAGGAGAGATTCATTGCCAAGTTGGAGCCTTAAAGCTTCCAACGCAATTTCCTTAATGAGCCTAATTTATGGACAAAGTGCCCCAGAAACATGGAGAAGACATCAAGGTCTTAACTGCAAGAAGGATTTTGGTTACAGGAGCATCACACATGGCAACCTCAGCTGAGGCACTGCCAGTGCCTGGGAGTTTGCTGTCAGGGAGGGATAAGATGCCTGGAATGATTGATCTGTTCAAGGAGCTCCAGTTTGCTCAGGGAGAACACCCAGGGCCCTTCTCACCTTGCAGGTTCTTATTGCTTCATGTCATTCTTGAGTGTGTAAACACCTGGAGAAAAGAAAAGTCAGCTGAGCCAGTTTATTGAGGGAACCAGGGGCCTGGGGGACATCCAGCAGAGCCATGCAGGACCTAAAGAGAGAAGCTTTGGCTTCCTGTTGGCATGGAGAGGTTCATGATCCTCTGGATGGGACCAGCAGGATGAGGGAAGGGAGTACTCTCTGCAGCCACCAGAGCTGGGAGGTGGTGTCACCTCTCCAAAGTAGTGAGAGGAGCTCCAGCAAGGTGAGCAAAGAATGTTGGTGGAAATGGGAGTCCCTGTGGGATGCTGGGGGTGCAGTTTCCAGCAGGGTCTCTGGCTCTGAAAGCTCTTGGCTGGGATGCAGATGCTGGAGAAGCAGGACACAGCAGCAATTGAGCAAAAAATAGGGAAAGGGCAGTAGAAGAATGTAAATCTTTCACTGTTTGTACCTCATCTGCTCATACCAAGCACAGCAAGATAACCTGGTATGGAAGAGAGATTTTTTTCTGAGATAGACTCTGGAATCAGACCCAGGAGAATGTGGAGCTTTGCTTGGGAAGTGACATGAAGTTACTCTGAGAATGGATGGTCTGAACCACTGACTTTTAACTCATTTATTTATCTGTTAAAAGGCTTAATAAACCAGATTGGGAGGGACCATAAAGGTCATCTAGTTCCAACCCTCTCACCATGGGGAGGGAAGCTCAAACTCATCCTGTCCTTAAGGAAACAGGGCTAGGATGTGATGGATATGATGGATCTTTACTTCATGCAGGGCAGAGTTTGCTGTAGAAGGTTCCTGAGATGTTCCAGTCCCAGCTGGTGACTGGAGCTGAGGATCTCACTCTCTCCTGAGCTATTTTTAGTAGCGAAAGATTTTTGTGCAACAACTGTTGCCTTTTCTAGCAACAGCTAAGCCTCCAGAAGAACTTCCAAGACCTTGTGAAATTCAGGTTATGCATAAGATTAGGAGCACTTCAGTAGTAAAACAGTGGGGTTTGATGGGAAGGGAGTTTAAAGTGTTGGTGTAAGCCTGGGGAAGGGAAAAATTCACCACTTTTGGATTAAGCACAGCTCTACAATACCAGACTGGGGGTCTGGCAGTTTTATTATCAGCTAGGATTAGTTGATGTGGTGCCACAGACAGGCAGGTAAGGCAGTGAATTAGGGGAAAAAACAAAGCCTCTGTGTGTCAGAGCTGATCTTTTAGTGTAGAGTGAGCAATACAGAGCAGAGCAGTGCTGGGAAGTGGCTGCTGCTCTGAGCAAACAGAGAGAGACGTTTTCAGCACACAATTGCCAGGAAGAAACACACTGACTGCCTGGCCAAGATGTGATAAAAGGCTGTTCCCACTCTGCCTTTACAGTAAAAGCCTTCACAGAGCTCTGACTCGTGGAAAGCTTCCCAGTTGCAGGTGCCTGGGGAGGCTGGGGAGGTGTTTTAGTGATGCTAGGACTGACTTTGTGCTTTGGGGCAAAAGATAAAAGCTCCTGGGAGCTAAGGGCTGTGTGCCCTTGTCCCCCACAGTGAGTTGGGTGTGCTTGGAGGTAACACAGAGACTGTTTTTTCCACCCTGGGCACACTCAGAGTTGCTGCCTGTGCAAAGCTGGTGGTGGTGGAAGGAAAAATACACTCCCCAAAAATGGGAAGTGTTTAGCTTTTGAGCAACTTCTCCTAGGAATTAATCCTCCCTTTGCACAAGTTTTGCTGCATTTGACAGGATTTCAGTGGTGACAACGTAAAATACTTTGAGAAGAGATCAACCTGGTTTTTTTTCTAGTCTTATTTTTCAAGGAAAGGTGGTTTTGCTGTGGAAAAAAAAAAAAAAACCAACAAAAAACCAGGAAATTCTGACGCATCCTGGAGATAAAAATATCCTGTTCCCTGAGATAAAAGTAATAATTTCATTGAGGTTTTGTAAAGAAGAAACATTTCAAGGCCGAAGAAAGAGAAGCAAAAGTATTGAAAACATCTGTGTTTTTCTTTTTCTGTGCTCAAATGGTTCCTATTCACCCCTGAGCTCAGGTGTGCTCTGCCAGGGAGCTGTTTTTTGGGGGGACAAGAACCACAGAATCATCCAGGTTGGAGGAGACCTCTAAGATCATCAAGTCCAACCATTAATCTGTCACTGCTGTAGCCCCTAAACCATATCCTTCAGTGCCTCTTAACCTCTTAAACATCTCCAGTGACTTGACTCCACCACCTTCCCTGGGCAATATTTCAGTGTCTGAACACCATGAGGTTCTCTGAGCCTCTTCTCTAGGCTACCCCAACTCCCTCAGCCCTTCCTCTTGGGTCATGTTTTCTAGACTTTTTATGAGTTTTGGTTGGGGGGATCCCCCTCAGAGGTGAGGGGTGCAGTGTACCCTACCATGGGGAGGGCAAAACGCTGTGTTTGTCTTGATTTTTCTCTCCATTCACCTCTTTCTGCCTGGAGGAGCAGAAGTGGATGAGGTTTGGAGAGGAATAGACTCGAGAGCTAAATCCAAGCAGGAAGATGCTGCAGGGCTCAGTTGCTGTGTTGCTGTCACCTCTTTCCCCTGCAAGGCTTTTTCCAAAGCTACATTTATTCCTCTTCTCCTCTTTATTCCTTTCCTGCTGCTCCCCTTTCTCCCACTGATCTCCTTTCTGCTGCTCCCATCCTCTTGTGCCAGGTGGGCATTTCAGCATGGACTATTCAACTTGTACAAACACCATCAGATCCAACTCCTTTGTGTTTCCTTTCCAGGGCCGCAAACCTGGCTACTTCTCCTTCCTGGATCCCTTTTCTCCTGGCGTCTGGCTCTTCATGCTGCTCGCCTACCTGGCTGTCAGCTGTGTCCTGTTCCTGGTGGCTCGGTAATGTGGCTGCGGTGCCATCTAGCGTCTCTCTCCCACACCCATGGGGGGGACAAGTGCTGAGAGGTTGGCCAGGGGGACACAGGGACACCCACAACCCCCAGGACACCAGTATGGACTGGGCAGCATTGGGGCAGAAGCATCTTAGCTTCCCTGCCAGGTGGAGACTGAGGTTTCATCACCTAGTCCCCATGCAGCAATGGGTATGGAAGCCTGGGATGGCTGTTGGAATGAGTGGGAGAGGTGTTGTGCCATGATTTGGGATGTGCTTGGCTACAGCTGGTGCCCAGGTGTGCATGGGAAGGGTGGGAGAAGGGTTAGGAGTAGCGTTGATGCTGCTCCCTATAGATGCAGGAAGGGTGGGAGAAGGGTTAGGAGTAGTGTTGATGCTGCTCCCTACAGATGCTATTTGCACCGGATAATCCAACCTTGTCCTCAGTGGGACAGAGGCTGAAAGGAACCCACAAATCCATTCTGGTTGGCCATTAGAACAGCTCCCCAGGGCAGTGGTCACAGCACCAAGCCTGGCAGAGCTCAAGAAACACTTGGACAATGCTCTCAGGCACATGGTGTGACTCTCAGGGATGTCCTGTGCAAGGCCAAGAGTTGGACTCGATGATCCTCATGGGTCCAAATTCCACAAGTGATGTTTGGCCCTGGACAACCCAGAGTGTAGAGAGCAAGAAAGTTCCTTAATACCTTCCAACAGCCTCTCAGTTTGCCATGCAGAGCCTCACTTGGCAGCTCTCACTTCCATTCCCCTATGACTAATTTAAATCAGTCTTAAAATACATCGCTGAGCACTTGTCTGCAGTGTGTCTCCCATCCAAGCCCAAGGTCTGTGCTCCATTGCTGTTTTCCCTGACCTCCTAACAAACTGCTTATGGTTGGTGGCATAGATGGGGTTTTGCAGACAGAGTTGACCTGTGTGCTGGTGTACCAAAGATGTGTTCAGAGCTTGAGAGCTCTTTCGGGACACTCCTAATACCCAATTCTCATTACACAAATTGGAACTGTGCTGTCACTTAGTCCCTTAGCATGGCTAAAGTTGTCATCCTGACAGAGCTTTAACGGCTTCTTGGAATGCTGTTACAGCCTCAGAAACACAGCTCTGAAGAAACTGGTGAATAATGCAGCCTGATGCTCTCTGCAGACTGAGAGCTGGTGCCTCTTTAGCCCCTTCCTCATGTTTCGAACATGAACCTCCAAAAATGTGCCTTTACCTAGCCTCCCACTGGAGTTGGAGGTCTGGCTGCTGCTGCTCTCTGCCTTGCTCAGCAGTGAGGAGCTCTTGACCCTGTGGATTGCACAGACTCTCTCAGAGCAGTGGGTTTTACTGCCAGTGCTTGATCCACCATGGAAAGTCTGCAGGAAATCACCTCCTCCTCCTTGGCATGGCAGTGAGGTAGGAGATGCAGGAGCAAAAATAAACCCCTCATCTTGGTTAAACACGGTGTGAGCTGGCAGAGCCCTGCAGCTGTTTTGGCAGGAGCTCCAAAATGACCTTGCCAGACCCCAGCTTTGTTAACCATAGCAATATAATGAATTGCAGCAGAGGAATGAGAAGACTTTCTTAGCAACCAGGGAACTGAGGAGTGGAAACAGCAAAAAATAGAGAGCTAGGATACAGTCACTTCAGTGACAGGCTGTCAGCTATTTCACATTCCCACCTCTGTCCTGTCCCTGAAGTATGTGATGCTTTGAAACAGCAGCACTTTTTTCCCAGCTGGGGTGATCAGACCTTCTCAGAGCAACTATTTGCACCAATACAGTTATTTTTCTGGATGGTGTCATGCAGTCAGGTCTCACACTCTTCTCTTTTGAACATCCCATCAATGCAGGAAAAACAACCCAAGATGTTTGATTCAATTTCCCATCAAGTCTGTGCACACCTGGAGTTATTGCTGTGGTGTGAATTTGCACACAAGGCTGCAGCCTATGCCCAAGATTCTCAGCAAAGCCTCTCAAAGTTCTTGCAAATCTTTACAAGATTCTGAGTCTTAGAGCAAACATTTCACACAGCTCTGAGCCCTGGGCATCAACTAACAGCAAAGTGTTTCCTCCTCAGAAAACTCTGCCTCCAGGAGAGATAGAGCTTCATAGCTTTTCCTTCTCTTTGCTTCTCTCCAAAGTGTCCCATTTCCCAGTGAATTACCTGAGCTGCTTGTTTCTTGTCATTTTAGGTTGACACCATACGAGTGGTACAGCCCCCACCCCTGCTCCCAAGGTCGATGCAATCTTCTTGTCAACCAGTACTCCCTGGGCAACAGCCTGTGGTTCCCAGTTGGGGGGTTCATGCAACAAGGCTCCACCATTGCCCCCCAGGCACTGTCCACACGCTGTGTCAGTGGAGTCTGGTAAGGAGATCTTCAGGAAGGCTTCTCTGGGGGTCTTTTCTGGGCAGAAGTGGCTGGAGAAGGAATTTCGTTTAATTTCAGCTCTTCCATTTTCCAGGGAGGTTGGTGGAGTCACCATCCCTGGAGGTGTTCAAAGAATGACTGGACGTGCTCTGGACTAGTTGACAAGGTGGTGATGGGTCACAGGTTGGACTCGATGGTCTTGAAGGTTTCTTTTAGGAGTTACAGCAGTGAGAGGTTAACAGTTGGACTTGATGATCGTAGAGGTCTCTTCCAACCTTGATGTTTCTATGAGGTCTTTTCCAGCCTAAATGATTCTGTGATTCTGAGAGGTGGAGGGTGGGAATGGAGAGCAAGGAAACCTCAGGTCACCTTCTCCACTTCTCTTTTCCCTAGGTGGGCATTCACCTTGATCATCATCTCCTCCTACACGGCCAACCTGGCAGCGTTCCTCACCGTGCAGCGCATGGACGTCCCCATCGAGTCTGTAGATGACTTGGCTGACCAGACAGCCATCGAGTATGGCACCATTCATGGAGGCTCCAGCATGACCTTCTTCCAAGTAAACCCCATTCCCTGGCTAAGTGGGGCAGGGGCTGCACCCTTCAGTCACACTGGAGTGTCACCCCAGCTGGTTGTGCCTGTTTCATTCTGGTTTTTGGCACAGAGGAGACCTCTGGAGAGACCCTTCCCTGCTTGGAGTAGCCTCATAGTGGGGGATGAATGGGGTGAATGGTGGAGGACAGGGAAGGAAATTTGACAGGGAAGTCAAATTTCCATAGGTCTCGGTGTGTTGTCGGTGGCACTGCAAATAAATAAGCCGAGTGTATGCAAACTTATGTGGGCCATTTAGCCCAGTTTAATTTTGCTCTTCCCTGCTCTATTCAGAAGGGAAAGAAATGAGTGAATCTTTTCTGCAGTGCTCTGAATGCACAAAGAACTGCTTGAGGATTATTTATTTATTACTTGTTGAAATTCCAAAAGGAGAGAAAACGCTGCTCACTTTTTCTTTTCCCCCCTCTGAGCCTGAACTGAATTTGGAAGCCTGAGAAATCTCTGGAGTGAGCCTGAGCTTTACAGCCCAACTTTAAGCTCCTCAGGGGTTTGGCAAAAAGCTACTTTTAAGCCAAATGTTACATCTAAAATGAGCTGAACAGAGCCCAAGTGGCTAAGGTGGTTGTCTGTGAGGAGCTTGTTTAAGGAAGGCTTTCAAGCTTAAACTCCTGACTGTGGCTTTGCTCTGCCTGGTGGGTGCTGGAATCCTTGGGCTGATGAGAGAGGAAATGAGGAAGATATCTTCTTGTGCCATTTGCAATGCTTTAAGCCATGTTGGGATCCATTTGGTGTGAGGATGGTGGGGCAAAGAAGGATTATACAGGCTTGGATGAGGCTGTCTGCATCACCCCTCCCTTCCTCACTGCGTTGGATGTTTCTCCACTGCTGAAGCACCTTGTCTTGTAACCTGTCCTGGTAGCATTTCCCCTGATACTAACACACAGGTTTAAGGTTGAAAAGTGCAGTGAATCGGGAACAAACACCTTCCCTGCTCATCTGTCTCTTGCCCAAGTGACTGCACCCAGAGGACAGAGCTGGACAGATGAGGACAGGAACTAGGTCAGCAGCAGAATCCCTGAGGCTCTCCAGCATTGCTTGCCAGCCACGGAAAAATGAGCCCTTGACAGTGTGAAGCTCCTCATGCAGACCAGAGTGTGTTTATATTCAGTCTTTGTACAAGCAGGTTTCACTCTTTGCTCAGTACAAGCAAGAGAGATTAACTAGAGTTGGCTTTGTCTTGATCAAACCAAGGTTGGCTCCACCACCAGAGTCTGAGGATTTTGGGGCTGGTTGAGCTTTAGTTTGTTGTAATCAATTAAGAGATTCCAGTTCTCTTGAAGTGCTTTGGCCTCACAAGGGGGTGAAGTGACATCTGGAGCAACAAACACCAAAGAGCTGGTGCTGCCCCAGCCCTCAGTGCCCTCCTTGGGGTGCTGGTGTCTGGCTCTGACACTGCAGAGCTGTTAGGACAAGGTTCCAATGACAGTCAGCAGACTGTGAGCTCTACAGGGAATATTTGGTGGCTTAAATCAGCCAAGCATGAGTTATTCCTTCTGCCTTTTTCTGTGAGGTTTTGATACACTGATACAGAGACTATGACTGTTTCTAAAATGGAGTTTACACAAAGAGCTTTGCCAGAACCTGTTGGAGTTAGGTGTTCATTTCATGCCCAGGTTTGCCAGAACCTGTTGGAGTTAGGTGTCCATTTCATGCCCAAATTTGCCAACAAAGTCTCAAATCCACCAAGGTATCAGGGCCTCTAAAACTCATAGAAATCACTGAAGGTTGGGCCTCTAAATCTTCTGCAGCCCAGAAAGCCAACTGAATCCTGGGCTGCATCCAAGGGAGTGTGGCAGTGGGTCAAGGGAGGTGATTCTCCCTCTCTGCTCTCATGACCACCTGGAATACTGCACACAGTTCTGGTGTCCTCAACATAAGAAGGACATGGAACTGTTGGAGCAAATCTGAGGAGGACACAGAGTTGGTAAGAGGACTGGAGCATCTCCTTTATGAAGACAGACTGAGGAAGCTGGGGCTGTTCAGAGGAGGTGGAGACCTCATAGCAACCTTCCAGCATCTGAAGGGGCTTCGGGGAAGCTGGAGAGGAACTCTTGCTTAGGAACTGCAGTGATAGGACAAGGGGCAGTGGGTTCAAATCGAAGGAAGGGAAATTTAGGCAAGATATTAGGAATAAGTTTTTTCTGTGAGGGTGGTGAGACACTGGCACAGGTTGCCCAGGGAGGCTGTGGCTGCTCCAACCCTGGCAGTGTTCACAGCCAGGTTGGATGAGCCTTGAGCAACCTGCTCTGGTGGGAGGTGTCCCTGCCCAGGGCAGGGGGTTGAAGTTGGATGATCTCTAAGCTTCATTCCAACCCCTAAAATTCTCTGACTCTCAATCAGGCACCAAATCTTCGACTCCTCTCCCTGTTGTTGCCTTTTCATCTCATTTAGGCTTTCATTTACAGCAAGAACCTCCTCCTTTAGCCACGATTTCCTCCTTCCTCCTGCAGAACTCTCGTTACCAGACCTACCAGAGGATGTGGAACTACATGTACTCCAAGCAGCCCAGCGTCTTCGTGAAGAGCACGGAGGAAGGGATCGCGCGCGTGCTGAACTCCAACTACGCCTTCCTGCTCGAGTCCACCATGAACGAGTATTACCGTCAGCGCAATTGCAACCTCACGCAGGTCGGGGGCCTTCTGGACACCAAGGGCTACGGGATTGGCATGCCCGTCGGTAGGCAGTGAAGACAAATTCTAGTCCTTCTCAGCTGTCGGCAGAGGAGCGAAGCGTTTGCGAGGCTGAACCTGCTCTCCGGCCAACCTCGCGTCTCACAGCTCTGCCCAGGGTCGTTTCCTTTCCTCAGGGGGAATATTCATCTCACTGGAGATGCTCCAGGTGCTCAGAGCTAGGTGGAGGAGACCCTGCTCAGGTTCAGAGCCATGTGACACGCGACTGCGGCTCTTTAAATAATTCATGTGCGAGATGTCTTGAAATTGCTGCTTGTTTTCTGCATACCTGCTCTTTGCTGACTGTTTCCCTCTCCAACCAGTGTTTGTGCATCGTTTTTGTGCTCCTTGTTTTAATCCCACAAGTGCTGTGAAAGTAATGCTACTGCAACTCGGGTAGTTTTTTTAGCACAAGTTCCTTAACAGCTGCTTGAAACTCCAGGACAGAGAATTGGGCGATTCAGTGGCTATCTCAGCTAATAATCAGGTCTAACAAACGCAAGGGTTTTGTCTTTCAAATGCGAGAGCTTAGCGAGAGAACATCATCCCCCAGGGCAGCACGGAAAAAGGATGTAGTAGTTGTTATTCCAAGCGATCCCCTGATCTTTTGGCCAGTCTGGCAGGCTCGGGAAGCCTCGTCCTGACCTTTAAGCACTGGCACTTAGCAAGACAAAGTTGAGGTGGATTACATAAGGCTCATCACACAAACAGTCACTCTGGTTTAGCTAACATGCGTAAGCTTGTAAAGTCACAGCAACCCGATCGGGAGTACAAACCTCTATTTTCAGGGCTAAATTTGTTCTGACATTGTCTTGTTAAACAGTGAAACTGTAGCAGATAAGAAGAGCAGAAAGCTGCTCGCTGGGACAATAGTGCAGAGTTACCAGGAGAATCACAGTGTTTCCCACGGCCCTTCTGGAGGATCTCTGGTGGCTGCAGTAGAGCTCAGAATCATGAGAATGTCCTGAGCTGGAAGGGACTCACAAGGATCTTCTAAGTCCAACTCCTGTCCTGGACAGGACAGCCCTAAGAATCTCATCATGTGCCTGAGAGTGTTGTCCAAACACTCCTGGAGCTCTGTCAGCCTTGGGGCTGTGACCACTGCCCTGAGGAGCTGTTCAGTGCCCAAACACCTCTGGGGGAAGAACCTTTTCCTAGTATCTAACCTGAACTTCCCCTCACACAACTTCATGCCATTCCCTTGGATCCTGTCACTGGTCACCAGAGAGGAGGAGAGATCAGCACGTGCCCCTCCACTTTCCCTTGTGAGGAAGCTATTGAGTGACCTCCTCTACCATAAACTCATGAGCTTGCATGTAGGCTGAACATGCTGCTGTTGCAGTGCACCAAGAGTTGGACTTGGATGATCCTTGGGGTCTCTTCCAACTCAGGATATTCTATTTTGTGACCAGTTTGAGGGAGAGGTTGGAGTGGAATGACAAGAGAGGGATCTCCTGGCCTGGAGAAGCAGCAGTGTGATATTGCCCAGGCCTGTTCATACCTTGACCCTGCAGCCAAAGCTCCCCATGAAATGGATGACCTTAAGTGGTCTCTGTGTGTGTCTTGTTGAAGAGGCAACATTACCTTCTGCAAGTGACATTAACCAGGTGACAGTCCCAGCTTTCCATGGCTTCCATGGACTGACATCCCCTCCAAACCACTCGGAGATGAGCTGTTGTAGCTGGGCACACTGGTGGGATGAGTGGGGAGGAAGGCTGGCCGAGGTGCTGCCCTACCACGTCCCTCTTGCTGTTGTAGGCTCCGTGTTCCGCGACGAGTTCGACTTGGCCATTCTCCAGCTGCAGGAGAACAACCGCCTGGAAATCCTCAAGCGCAAATGGTGGGAAGGAGGGAAGTGCCCCAAAGAGGAGGACCACAGAGCCAAAGGTAAGCCATGCCACACCCTGCTAGTGTGCCAAAAGGACCAGGCAGTGGAAGCATCCTTGAAGCAGTGCAAGGATGAACATCACAGAATCAGGTTGGAAGGACCACAATGGGGCATCTGGTCCCACCTCCCTGCTCCAGCAGGAAGGTGTCTAGACAGATCTTGAATATCTCCAGTGAGGGAGATTCCACAGCCTCTCTGGACAACCTGCTCAGTGAAGTTCTTCTTCATATTCAGGTGGAACTTGCTGTGCATCAGTTATTGCCCATTGCCTCTTGTTTTATGGATTTTCACAAGTGAGTAGAGTTTGGCTCCATCACTTTGGTACTTCCCATTCATGTACTTGAATACATTCATGAGATCCCTCTCAGTCATCTCTTCTGAAGGTTGAACAGCCCCAACTCCCTCAACCTTTCCTCATAAGTGAGGTGCTCCAGTCCCTTAAGCTTCTTCATTGCCCTCCACTGGACCTGCTCTAGGAGCTCCATGTCCCTCTGGCACTGAGGAACCTGTCAGCACACGAGGCTTTCTGCCTAAGAATTCCTTTTTCCCCTTCTTTTGACCTGCTATTCCTTCCCTCACAATTCAAGGAGAAAGCCAAACAGCTCTGCTGTGCCTCATGCTGTGTGTTTTTGCCTGGGGCACAGATAGCAGGAACAACCAAAATGACAAATATTGGAGGCATATGGAGGGTAAATTAGCTTCTAATGAATGTCTGGGAAAATGGATGGCTGAAGGGATCAGACCAAAATCCTGGGTTCCTTCGATGGAGATGGATCTCCACCACAGGCCTGCTGGTTAATGGCTCCAAGTGAAAGTGTCTTTGAAACAGCCAGGGGAAGGGACACAAGGACTTTATTAGTACATCTGTAAACTGAGGAGCAAATTCTTTTGGGTAATGCTATGCAAATTACCATAAAAGCTACCACATTAGGCTGATGTCCCAGCATGAGAGTACTTGCCAGCTGAACACAGTTGCTGCATTTTTTGGTCTTGGCAGTCACCCTTTCCTCAGCAAGTGTTTTCTGGGAGGCCAGCAGGTCCCCCAGTTAAAAGGACAGTCTTCTGACCTTTGTGAGCGCAGAGACAGAGAGCCAAAGTGGGGATGTGGGAGCTCTTTTGGGTTTTTTGACCTTGCAGTAGGTGTGTGTGTCTGTGCAGTTCGTGGATGGGACCTCCCAAGGCTGTGAGTTGATGAACAGTGTTGTGCTACTGTCAGGCCAAGCTATTAATCTCAAGGCTGAAGGTGTTGGCCCAGTGTAAGACATCAGGTTAGCACTATTGAAGAAGTTATTTTGAAGGCAAGCAGGCAAATGGGAGACTTTTCCTCCCTGGACTGTGCAGAAAGCAGCTCTGAAGCAGAATCTAGGCTCTGGGCTGTTTTGAGGTGGCTTTGGAAGGGGATCAGCTGGGAAGTTTGACTGTTTCTGGCACTACCTGGTGTGTTCTGTGAGCCTGGACATGTTTTTCTGCTGGTTTGTTCCCTCTGTCGTAGCTCACTTCTTCAGTCTGGGAAATTGGGAAGGCTGTAGCCTGCTGGAGTGTGTATATGGAGGAAGGAAATACATCTGGGTGAGCTTGGGTGTCTGAGGTGGTACCCAGGTAGGATGGAAAGGTGTAGGGAGAGATCTTTATCCTTTATCTTGGGTCCAAGTTGTGCTTACAAGCTGTTTTCTGCCTTGCAATTGCTGTCTTAGTGGAAGCATCTCTGCAAAGGGCTGATTTACAGAGTCACTAGATTGCTCTGGAGGCAGTGCCAAAAGGATGACGGAGGAGGAGAGAGAAATGTGACCTCCTAAGCTTTAGAACAAACCAGGTCAGCGATTTACAAGGATTTTGGTGAGATTTTATGTCTAAAAGCCACAACGAGATTAAGTCAATAAATCATTGATTCTTACACTTTGATTTAATGCTACAGAAAGGAGAGGAAGATTTTTATAGATGTTCTGGTTGAGTAATGGCCTCATACAGTCACCCCAGTGCAGAGCACCACATGCTTTTTAGTAATCAATCCAATCAGGGCCTTGGTCCACTTGAGTTCCAAAGCCAACACGCACAGGAAGGAAGAGCCATATCCTGGAGAATATGTGCTGAGGCCAGCACTGCTCCCTGGCTCCTCTCATGGTCCTGCAGGGCCACAGGGAGGCACAGCTTGTGATGGGAAGTGAAGTGACAGCATTGGCACACAGAAAGTTCAGTCCAGGTCCTTGAGGGCTGAGTTTTCCTTCCAGCTGGTGAACTTGATGCAGTACAAGTTGGGTAGTCGTGGTAGTCATCCCATTGCACTTGAGTTGTCCAAGGGAGGTGACATGAGTCACCCCATGGGAAGGAGCTGTTTCCTCCTCATAGCATCATAGAATCAAAATCATCAAGGTTGGAAGAGACCTTAGAGATCATCAAGTCCAACTGTCCACATAGTTACCACTGTGACCCCTAAACCACATCCTCCAGCACCAGATCCAGACACCTCTTAAACACCTCCAGGGATGGTGACTCTACCACCTCCCTGGACAGTCTGTTCCAATGCCTGAAAATGGGCCCAGAGTGCTGAGGGGGAGAACACCCAACCCATAACCAAGGAGACCCCACTTGGTCACCCTAGAGTGTGCAACAGCGTTGGGTCCTGGTCTTGTTTGGAGCCTCTCCTTGCTACTGCAATACAAGCAGCTGTAATCATTTCCCTCAGCACTTTGTAGTGCAATCAAAGGATCTTTTTTTGGTGCCAGCTTTCTTTAAAGCCTTTTCCTGTCTTCATCTCTGTTTCTTTCACACCCTTTCTCATCTTCCTTTGCGAAGTTCAAAGCCACTGGAGCTGGGTGAATAATTTGCAGGGATTAATGTGCCCGATTGATCTCGCATTTTTCCCCTCCTGTTTTCAGTTTGTCCACAAATTGCTTTGTGCTTCCCTCCAATGTACTTGCTGTTTATCTGCAAAATCATCATTTCTGAGAAGGCATCTTCGATCCTGCAGTTATTGCAAGTCATTCACTTTGCCATCTGAGTCATGAGGGAGCTATTAATAGGACAGTGCTGGCTCTGGGGTTTTGAGCCCTGGCTGGGTATCTGCAATGCCAAGGAAACAGCAAAAACTTGGGATTTATGGACAGTGATACTTGCAATTTATGTCATCTCTGCACATTGTCCTTTCTGCTTTGTTTTTAGGCCTGGGAATGGAGAATATTGGTGGAATCTTCGTGGTGCTCATCTGTGGCTTAATCGTAGCAATTTTTATGGCAATGCTGGAATTTTTGTGGAGTCTTCGGCACTCTGAGCAGTCAGAGGTAGGACCCGAAAGTGTCCTGAGGGGGATAAGGTGTGTTTATTGCTATCAGCAGAGTGCTCTGGAGCAAGCCATGCATCCAGGCTGAAAAGCATTCCCAGCCCCATGAGCAGGTTTGGTCCTTTGGGCAGGGTCTAAACTCAATGCATTTCTCATGCACTTCTACTAAGATTGAGGCTGTAGAGATGCTCCAAGGGCTTTCAAGGATGTGTACAACATCCAGGCACCTTTCCTGGAGGTGAGATCTTAGGATTTCTACCTGCAGTAGGTTTGGGTGTTGTGTTGATATGGAGATCCAGAACACAGAAGGGTCTGTAATGAGAGGCAGAATCTGTTAGGTTAAACCAAATGCAAATGTCCAAGAGTTGGTGTTGGCACCAAGACCATAACAATTTGGCATCAGAATCACATCATGGAATCTTAGAATGGTTTGTGTTGGAAGGGACCTTAAAGAACATCTAGTTCCACCCCTGCTATGGTCAGGGACACCTTCCACCAGCCCAGGTTGCTCCAAGCCCCATCCAACCTGGCCAGGGATGGAACAGCCACAACTTCTCTGGGCAACCTGTGCCAGTGCTTCAGCACCTCACAGGGAAGAATTCCTTCCTAATACCTAACCTAAACCTCCCAAACTCATCCCTGCAGCCCCCAGAGCTGACACAGCACTGTGTAGCTCATACCTGTGAGCAGTAAACCTCACGCCTCCCTTCCTAGGTGTCAGTGTGCCAAGAGATGGTGTCGGAGCTGCGCAACATCATTCTGTGCAAGGACAGTTTCCACCCTCGTCGGAGGCGAGGGGGGATGGTACGGACTCGCCCCGTTCTCCCCGAGGAGCGCCGAGCCCGCAGCACAACCACGCTCAGCAATGGCAAACTGTGCAGCGGGGGAGAGCCAGACCCCCTGGCACAAAGACTGGCACAAGAGGCTGCCCTGGTGGCCCGAGGCTGCACACACATCCGCGTGTGCCCCGAGTGCCGCAGGTTCCAGGGTCTCCGGGCGCGGCCGTCGGCAGGGTCACCCGCGCGAAGCGAAGAGAGCTTGGAGTGGGAGAAGACCACCAATAGCAGCGAGCCCGAGTAACACTGGGACTGGGGGTGTCGGGGTGGGCTGAGAGGGTCCTGTTCCATTTTACAGAACATGGACTTGTATAATTATGTCAACTTGTTTTTAAATTAAGAGCAGTTTCCCAGCTTCTCCAGAGCAAGGTGGACCTTTGGGCTGATGTGTAGGCCGGGAGGGTTGGCTGTGGTTGTGGTGGCCAAGTGGCTTGCTGAAGCCTGATGTGGCAAGGAGTGAGGTCCTCAGGCTGGTCAGGCTCCAGAAGTTGTCCCCATGCCACTGAGGTGGGTAACTGGTGTAGCCTCCAGCAGTTGTCCCCATACCACCAAGGTGGGATGTAGTGGGTAACTGGTGTAGCCTCCAGTGGTTGTCCCCATACCACCAAGGTGGGATGTGATGGGTAACTGGTGTAGCCTCCAGTGGTTGTCTCCATACCACCAAGGTGGGATGTAGTGGGTAACTGGTGTAGCAGATATTGCCCACCCAAGGGCAAGAGTAGTTCTTGGACCTTCTCCACCCCAGGTCAGGAGAAAGGATGCTGGTGCCATCTCCCCATCACACAGACTTACCAGGGGTTATTCTCAAAGGGAGGGGGGAGGGAGTTTTTCTTTGCCATGGAAAAGGGATGGGAAGGGAGGAGTCATCATTTTGTTTTGGTTTCATTTGGGTAGTCAGGACCTAAGTCTCCAAGGCACCAGGTTTCTGGTGCTGAACTCTTCTTCCTTTGCAGAGTGTGGCAGGTGGGCTGAAGGAGGAAGGGAAGACAGGGATGGGACACACTCCCCATGAGAAGCAGCGTTTGCTGAAAGTCCATCTGAGGAGTTGTTAAAATCACACATATCTATTTAAATATATCTATACCTAGATATATCTACTGAAATGCCAAAAAACCAACCAACGACCACAGTGAACTCAAAGAGGCCTTGCAACGCCTGGAATTTCAGGGGTTCTGTGTCTTGTTTCGTTCTGGGGTTACCTTTTGCTTCTTTTCCTTTCTGTTTTGGGGATGGGGGTGGGGGAGCCTTTTGAGGAAGGTGAGGTGGGAGTGGGGAGCTCTGGGGGAGGCTGCCCTTGCCCACCAGTGCTGGGATGTGGTGGTGTTGGTACCCCCAAAGCTCTGCACCCTCCCAAGTGACTCTGAGCTCTGCCCCAGGCTCATGAGCTCCCCATGTCCACGACCCACAGAGCACCCTCAGTTTTGAGGGTGACTTACAGCCCATGTCCAGCAGTGACGATGCCACACAGCGTTTGAGACAAACCATTAGCCCAGGATCTCATGTAAGGAAAATATTTACTTCCCTAGTAACAGCAGCAACTCACCCTCTGCTTGGTACAGACATGGGAGTGACACTGGTGAATTTACTTTTCTGATTGAAAAACAAATTCTATGCAATTTCTGATTGTAAAAGGAAAGAGATGACAATGAAGAGGGGCAGGGGAGATAAAGCCTTGAGTGAAGGTACATCCTGTTCTTGAATTGTTTTCTTTTCTTTTTGTCTTGAATGTACTGAAATAAAAGATGTCCTTGTATAATCATGCTTTTTTTTTTTTTTTTTTTTCTCTCTTTCCTTCCCTTGTCCACAGTCAGAAAAGTTGTGAGGCAGTTTGAGGCTCATCTGACCAGGGAGAACTCAGCAACTGAAAGGGAAGAGGTGCTTTGGCTGCTGCAGGTTTCTGCTGCCTGAGTGTGTCCACACCTGTGTTGCTGTTATCTGTAGCTGAATGGAAACAGGAGGAAAAAAAAGCAAAGGTCAATAAAAGAAAGCCCAAACACCAGGTGATAAGGAGGGAAAGAACCCAGGACTAACAGCAGTGAGGCTGCCCAGCAGGGCAGGTTTCCATGTGCTGTGGACCATGGCAGGAACAGCCTCTCCAGACCTGCTGGTTGGAGACTGTTGACCAGGAGCTGAAGGTCAGGTACAGCAGATCCAATCCAGGAACCTGTGTCCAGCAGGTGTCTCTGAGGAGGATGTGCAGGGAATGGGGTGTGATGTTATGGTGATGGGAACATTAGGGTGGTCGTGTTGTTTCCAGCAGGGTGTCAAAGGAAGCTCTCACCCAGTGGCAGTAAAACATGCAACGAGGAGGAGAGGAGCTTGGTACACATATGAGATGTTCATAGAGGTCCTTTTTGCCTTACATATCTCTAAATCCACAGGATGTTCCTCTCTCCCTGACTAAACAGAGTGGGGAGATAAGGTAAGACTTCACCAGAGCCCTGGAATCCTGTGCTGTGGGCTCAGAAATCCTCAGCTGAGGTAAGCCAAGAAAACTCCAACCCCTGCACTCTGCAAGGAGCTTTCAAAGTCCTGACAGCAACAGCAGAGACATCTGAGTGTGTCTGTGTTGTGCTTAAAGGCCGACACGTTTTCCCAAGCAGCAGAATATATTCATCAAAAAGGAGCAGCTTTTTAAAATTTATTTACAGATTAGCAGAAGAAAAGGCTCCATGAATCATTTATCAGAGCTGAGGTTTTGGGTTTTTTTCACTGCTCCTCCTCAGTGAATAAAGAGAAACCTTGACAGAGCCAGACATTCTTCTGCCTCTCCAAAGACCTTGCAGTCATCTGCTCAGACAGGGGATGTCAAGGAAAAGAAATGATAAGAAAACACCTGATTTCTCAGTGTCTTTGCCTTGTCTCATCTGTTAGCTTGCTCCACCCCCATGGTGTTTTAAGTCTGGGTCTGTATCTTAAGGAGATTTGTTTCATGCCCCTCTTGCCCTCTCCTCTTTTTCTAATGCTCAGAGGGTTAGCACTCAGAGCAGAAATGGCCCTCAGAAGAGGAGGATAAAAGCTGCTGTCATTTAGATCCCTTTTCTAATGTCTCTATGCCCTGTGTTTGCTGCTCACTGCTAAATACTCCCAGGTTCCACACTGGAGGGAGCAGACAGCATTATACATGTGCCTGGCTCTGTGCTCATATACATCTGTGCGCCCAGATGGGTTTACAGCTCACGTTTTCCCCCCTCTCCCCATTTCCCTCTCTCCTCTTAGACACCATTGTGGGGGTTCTTTTTGCTCAGCCAGTCCCAATGCTAATGCAGTTCAAGATCTGGAGTGGTTTGCCATGCAAAAGGCACTTTCCCAGTATTGCTGTCTCCTGATAAAACCACGAGTAATTCTAGTAAGATATCTCTGCAAATTCCACCGGGAGCCAAAGATTAGATCAATTAAAATGTAATACTTTGCTTTTTTTTTTCTCCCCCCTCCTTCTAACTGTTTTGTTGGAGCCTCCTGCTGCCCTCTCTGCTCAGTGGGGCTGAGGGCTCAGGTCTCTCCCTGTGGTCACTGCCCTGGCTCAGTCCACAGAGGTCTGGCAGGTTCCTGACTAAAAGGCCTGGAATCTCTCCTCGTGCACTAAACCCCATGTTTATGTTGTTTTTCCAGGCAGTTCCATTTTCACCTAATGATAAAAAGCTGTTTTCTCCCCGGAGGGTGCATGGGTGAAGGTTTTAACGAGAGGCTTGGACTGGCCTGGGGACAGTTACTGAGCTTAGTGGTGTCCAGAAAACAGGGAAGGGTCGTTGTGTGAGCACAAGAGCCTCCAGGACTTTGGGAAGAGAGACTGAGCCCTCAGTGGTCCTGAGGCAGGAATCATTTTAACCCTTTCAGATCCACAGACATCTCTTACTTCTGCCCTGCCAAGTCCTCTGCTCTCTTGGAACCCTAAGTGCCTCACCAGGTGAGTGACCCTAAAGGTGGAGGAAGAGGCAAAGGGAATACAGATCATTTTGTTTTGCTTCTATTGCAGAGATCCTGAGTTACAGAAAGGACTTGGAAAGGGGTGTGAGTCCCAGCAGTCATATGTGAGCTGGTGGAGGTCCCTCCAGCTCTGGGAATTGCAGCTGTGGGCACAGGGTGACTGGGGTGGACACAGGGATGTGGGGAACTGGTTTGGATGGTTCTTGGGTGATGATTCTGAATGGTAAAGACATCACTTGGGAAAAGGAAGGCACCTGTGGGTGAGGTCTGTGTGTGGTGGAGGAGGTCTGATCACTGGTGTCTTAGGCAAAGAAGCAAAGATGGTTTGGGGTGAAGCTGCCCACAATTTGGCTGTGAAAAAGCTGCCATGAGTGATCAAAGCCTCCTCATCAGCTCATTCAACTTACCTCTGAAAAGTACCTGCAAAATAGGTGTTTTTCTCTTCTCCTTCACTTGTACACCTAGTGAAGGTGATGAAATTTCTTGCAGTGGCTTTGGCTAGAGGGGAAAATTGCCCATCAGGAGGAGAGTGAGACACCACTCCAGAGCAAGTGACCTAGAGGCACACATTGGAGGCAGAATCAGGTCAGTGAACTGCAAACTGCCATCAGAAACTGTAAAAAGTAAGTCTGGGCTCACATGTGACCCTTGCAAGTCTGCTAAGTACCTAAGAGTGAGGGAACAGCACATTTGCCTGAAGTGAGGAGCTGCAGCTTGAACAGAGGTAGCAGAGAAACAACTCAGCATGCCCAAACTGCTTGTGGAACAGAGGATAAAGCACCCACAGTTCCAGAAACCCCATCAGAGCCTGATGGCCACTAACTGATTGAAAATACAGAGCTGAACTCTTCTGGGTACAAAGTAGCTCTGATGAATTCAGTATAAAGAGGCTCCTCTGGAACTCGATCCCACACTGGGAAAATCAGCCCTGTATCAACTGCATGGGACAATGGGCAGGTTTATGCATCCTTCTGGGAGGGTTTTTTCCCCTCCAAGGGGGAATCTGCTATGCTTCACCTGAGTTTTTAGGCTGATTCGTGGCAGGACTGCAACATTTCATCCCAGAAAGCATTCCAGCAGGCAGATGAGGATCAGCAGCTGTCTGGGGGGGACATGTGGCAGTCCATCACCAGCACAAAGGGCCACACAGCAGCAGCTCCCCGAGAGCTCTGCCGAGGCCAAAGCAGCAGGAAAATGAAGGAAGCTTAATTAACAAAGGCTTTCTCCTCTGCTGTGTTTAGGTCTGCAGTTATCAGTGTAGCTGGCAGTTCTCAAAGACTGAAATGACAGTAGTTGGCTGTAAAAGAGATAACTGTC